CAAAGGCTGAAGAATTGCTTTATTTTGTTGAGAAGAAAGTATTGAAAGTGGACTGCCAGAAGAACAAGCAAATAATTCTTGGAAGAAGTACACCCAGAAGTACAGCTTAAAAGCAGAAATCTAGAAACATGGTCTCTTGTACTTTGGACATGTTAGTAGGAGAGACCAGACCTTGAAATATAACATTCTGGTTGGGAAAGCGGAGGGGCAGTGCAAAAACGAAGACCTTCAAGACAATGGATTGACATGGCAGCTTCAATAGGCATTTAAATATTACAATAATTGTGAAGACGAAACAGGACTCTCATACATAAGGTTGCTGCAAATCAGCACCTATAGCTTATTAAAGAATTATTAAATATAACTACTTTTTTGGAATACACACGCGACAGTTAGAGATTATGTTACCTGAACCTTGTATAAACATGTGGGGGTGGAGTCCAGTCTGTCAATCAGGCCTTACAGGGTGTATTTCCTTTTTATTAAGGAGAAACTGGAAACTTTCCTCTCTCTGCCCCTTTGGCTTCCTGCTTGCTGGAAATCTGAGCTTGTCTTCAGGTGTGGCGCTAGGTGGGTTGCCTGATGCTGAGGGCTATTTGGCACCCTGCCATGTTCCCGGTGATCTGCGATCCTCATGATTCTGCACTCATCGCACTGTGATCTTCCTGCTTCACCTTTCCGCTCTATTGCCCTAACGCTGCATGAGTCTGAAGAAGGCTCTGGCTAACTTTGGAACCATGGGCTGAACTGGGCTAGGATGTTTGCTTGATATAAGATTACTTCTTCCTATAAAGATCCTTCTTGTATCTATATATAACACAAATTTTGTATATATATATATATATATATATATATATACACATACATATGTATATATATGTATATGTATACATATATACATGTATATATGTGTGTATTATATACATATACACACATACATACACACACATATATATACATACATATATATATGGAGAGTGAGAGACGTATAACATAAAAAATAAACAGTTAATTAATCTATAAAGCAGTACAGGAAACTATTAATTTAGTTGCTGTCTCTGTAGATTTACCTATCCTGTATTTCATATAAAGAAAATCATTAAAACCACAACACAATAAGACAGAGAAATCTCAGTCCAGAAAGCAGAAAGTTATGATAAATGGAAGAAGTTAAAATAGGTCAAAAGGGAAAATGAATGGTAAGATGTTAAAATTTAGTCTAACTGTATCTGTAGTAACCCCCTTTCCATTACACAGTTTCTGGGGACGACTATTCATATCCTTGGTCAACGGACCCAGGGAATTCAATGGAGGCTCAGCCCGTGCAGGGCTTCTGAAAATGGATTTTTGAGCTATCACGTGTCCTTCATAGTCTTCTGCAACCAGGTTCTCAGAATTTAAGCTCTAATGCATCTCCAGTTTCCCTCTGATTTTAATTTTTATTGTTAATCTGTGGACTCGGGAGTCCGATGCGTTGCTTCCATGGGGACTTTGCTGGCATCTCACTTAGATGGGTGATTATTCTAAGGGAAGCTTTTAAAGACCCAAGACATTTTTCTTTCTGATTAACAAGTGCCATCTTATTTACTCACCATAGTTTTCTATAGCACCCAGAGCATCAGTGATCACTTCATGAGGGCAAGTATCAAAGGGAGCATTCACAATGTATGAATCGTGCTTAGATTACAGTTACGAGTAAGTGTGAGCTCAAAATTCATTAGTGTGTCTATGCTTTATGTATGCCCCTGATTTACTTCAGAGTGAACACTATCAATTTCTCGAGAAATATAAATCTCCATGGGACATTTGGTAATTCTAAGAATATCATAAATCTAGCCAATGATACAGAATCTAAAGTGCTACTGAGAAAGGATATATATCCCCAAACAGATTTTCCCCCCAAAGCTGTGCACTTAAATATTTTTACAAAACAACCTTATCATCTTCAAAGTACTCTCTATTACACTTAATTACATTTGTCAAATCTGTGATTACATTTTTGGAAACATTTTTCAAACTTAACTGTTTGGATGGCTGACAGCACCTCCCTTGTAGTTTTCTTCACCTCTTCGACATCATCTATGTTAGACAGGGTTCTCTAGAGAAACTAAACCAGAACACTAATAATTTTATATATGTATATACACACACATATACATACATACATATACATATATAGAGAGACATATAACATAAGAAATAAACAATTAATCTATAAAGCAGTACAAATGGCTCAGTGCAACTCACTCCCATGAGACAGTCATGAGACACTGGCACTCCTTCTAGTCTTGAGGGCTGCCGCGTAGTCCTCTGTACAGCAATTCAGTCTATCTGGGTACAGGCAGCAAACAGCAAGGCAGGTCACCGGTAGTAAGCCAGATGACAGGGTCCGACAGTCTTCAGCTCAAGAGATGTAAATTCCAAAATTGTGACTAAGCAGGTCTTGAAAGAACCTCAAATTATAGCAACACAGTCCATGGGTTAGGTGTCCCACAGGTAGTGTAGTTTGCAAATTGAGGCAAAGAACAAGCAAGGCAGCCACACACTGGTCTGATGATCCTAGAGCACGAGACAAGAAAGGCGAGGCTCGCTAAGCCATTTAGCTCTCCACCCTTCAATTAATCCCACATGCGTTTATTGGCCATGTTGGCACAATAAATGTTAGCTATCTCATCATCTAATCACTGTCCTTTCATGTCCCTCTTCATTTGCAGAAATAAAAAGTTGTGCAGACTTCAGGTGAGTACGGGGAAAGAGAGGCATGCTGCCTTTTGCCCAAATCTGGTGCACTGAGATGGTTGTGTGAGCAGGTGCATTGTCATAGTGGCAAAATCAGTACCCTGTCTGCCACAAATCAAGTATTTTTGTCACACACTCTTACACTATCTTTTCCAAACCTCTAAATAGAAAGCTTGATTAATAGTCTGACCTGGTGGAATGAACTCCACATGTACTTAGTCAACATTTTTGTCCATTTGGAAAGTTGATGGACATCCAAAATAAGCTTTGTCATCAATCAACATTTCACATTTTTGAAATGAGAAAACCACTTATATGCTTGAGATTTTCCCATAGCGCTGTCCTTGTAAGCTGTGTTCAACATCACAACAGTTTCTGCAGCATTTTTCCTCAGCAAGAATCAAAATTTTATAGCCACATGCTGTCTTCTTAAATCTGCCATCACAAAAAAACGAGGTTGAGCTAAACTACTTTTACCAAAAATTCACTGTGACAAGAGAGAACCTTCCCAGGGGATGCCACTGGGTGCACTAACTCAGAGCAAGTTGCTGGATGATTGCCTTTAGGAAAAATGCATAATATGAAAGCTCTGCCCAGTGGAGTCTTTTCCGTGTTTTTTTTCTTTGGGGGGTAACCCCTGTGCGTGTGTTCATGGAAAGCGTTTTAGGCTGAAATATATGGATTGTTGGCTTGTACAGATTTAAAACAGTGACTGAACACTGTTTATGAAAACAATGAGCGCTAAACACAAAGCAAACATTTCAATAATGCTCATTTACTAAGGTAAAGCTGTGTCTTGTGGGACTAAGACATATCAAAAAGTGAAAGTGAAGAGTATTAAATTAGAAAATACATGGTAGATTTAAATTGCCAATTATTGGGCACCCTCAAAATAAGATATTTGAACCAAAGTCAAGCGACTTCCAAATCCACAACCTTGGGATAAAAATCATCAGCTCCTCACACTAGGGTGTTACAGCTTTAAACCCTAAGGATTATTTAAATTCCCTTAATCTGCTATAAGTGTGTTTGTTTATGGTGAAGTCCAGTTCACTTAGTGGCACTTCCAAATCTGATCCTCCTGATGGTCAAAAGTCTAAGATCCAGATTTCCTATAGCATGCGGCCTGGGTCAGCTAGTGCTGAATAGAAAATAGCATCGTATTCATACATGGTTAGGAACGTGATACAGGGCTGATTCTCCTTTTGGGGGAATCTATATAGGTGATGTTAGGCATTTATCCTAGTGGCAGGTTGCCCCTCCAAGCTTACCCACCAACAAAAAGTGGAATCACCCTCTCAGAGACACACATACCACCCCCTTTCTCCTTAGTCTTGAATTTCCATTGAAATCCACCATTGAATTCACCATTTGTATGAAACGCTATTCTAGGAGTGTCTCGATTTGAGGTGGCCTCAGAGCATGCTATGTGACAGGAACTATGTGGTCCTCTTCTTTCCCCATTAAATAAAAAACTAACCGAGCTAAAGCGAGGCATCCTCTGAAGCAGTGATTTTTATGGGGTAAAAAAGTACCAGTGTTGGAGGGATCGTAAGACACCACCAGCTCATTGCTTGGGAGACCAGATTAAAAGATTACATGATCGGGAACCGCCATCTTACAGTAACCTGCCAAAATGACCAACACCAAGGGAAAGAGGAGGGGCACCCGCTACATGTTCTCCAGGCCCTTCAGGAAGCATGGCGTCGTTCCCCTGGCCACATACATGCGAATCTACAAGAAAGGTGACATTGTGGACATCAAGGGCATGGGCACTGTTCAGAAGGGGATGCCGCACAAATGTTACCACGGCAAAACCGGACGTGTCTACAACGTGACCCAGCATGCTGTCGACATTGTTGTGAACAAGCAAGTCAAGGGCAAGATCCTTGCCAAGAGAATCAACGTGCGCATTGAGCACATTAAGCACTCGAAGAGCCGGGACAGCTTCCTGAAGCGCGTGAAGGAGAACGACCAGAAGAAGAAGGAGGCGGCCAAGGAGAAGGGCACCTGGGTGCAGCTGAAGCGCCAGCCTGCCCCTCCACGAGAGGCCCACTTTGTGCGGACCAACGAGAAGGAGCCCGAGCTGCTGGAGCCCATCCCCTATGAGTTCATGGCCTAGTCTGAAATAAAGCTGTCCAGGGCAAAAAAAAAAAAAAAAGATAAAAGATTACATGATCTGAGAACAGACACCAGTTTGTGAGCTTGTTTGCCCATAGTGGTGATTCATACAATCTATGTCCTTTTGTGATTGACTAACTTTGCTCATCAAAATAGTTTCCAGATTTTTCTAGGCCTTTGGGTGTTTCATGGTTTTATCTGTTTTTTAGGGCTTGGGTGCATGTACCTATTTTCTTTATCCAACTTTTCTACTGAAAAGCTGTTGGCTCTTTAGAGCAGCCTTCCTTCCCTAACAATTCACTACTGTTCTCCCATTTTATTTTTTTTCTTCTTTTTTTCATAGCACCTGACAGTTTTGAAATTCTGCCCTATTTTCTTTATTTACTTGGGTACTTCCTGGTATTGTTTTAGTGAGTTAAGAACCTTGCCAACTTAACAAGTGGCCCTGCCACATTTTTACAGTAAGTTTGATTCTGACAGACGCCTGAATCAAACACAGAGTGCTTCATTATTTAGCATAGTATGTAGCGATAGCATTTGTATCACTTTCTTGAGTCTCAATTCCCTTCCGAGGCCTCAAAAGAGGCCGAATGGCATCAGAACCCACAGTAACTTATCTTGTGAGAGAGATTATGAATTTATGGAAGTCACAACTTACCTACTGGACTATAAGCAAACCTCTCCTTTGTCCCAGATGAATGCACTACCCACATCTATATGCTTCAAGGCTGTACACTGAACACCCTTAAATTCTCTCTCAAAATGCATGCAACAGATAATATTTTGCCTCTCCCCCGAAGGCATCCTTTAATATGTGTTCAGTGATAAAATAATGTATTTTTAAATGTCTCCTTCACAGTGAAAAGAATGTTGAGTTTTTTCAGTGCTGGAGGGAAATGTTGGAAGACATTTCCAGAGGAACGTGCTCGCCTGTGGAGGGAAGAGTACCGCTGATGGTAGAGTTTTGCTCAATCCATAGGCTGGGACTGCAGGTTCGTTGACAAGTTTGCAGCCCCATTCTGGAGATAACCTTTCTATGACCCTTTTCACATTGAAAGTTTGCCCCACCAAAGGCCTCTCATTCATATCAGCATGGTGCCTTGTAGAGACCCCCAAGTCGTTCACTTGTGGGCCTGAGAATCCCATGAAACTGCGGGTTCTTTTGCAATCCATCATACAGTTCATGTGTCCCACGAGAACCCAATGAATTATTACTAAACATTGCACTGCTTTTCAAGAACCCATTGTGTCGTCAGCCCCTCTGTCTCTCTCTGCAGCCTTTCCTCAGAGCCTGCCCTTTGCTTGCATTCTAGAGCCTTCCCTCCTGTTTGCCGTTGGCTGCAGACTAGCTCCAGCAAGGCCACTGCAGCAAACGTCCCTGCTGCTATGCAGTGGGGCATTTCCAGTGAGGTCGGAGTGCCTTTCCTTCCCCCAGTTCGCTGCTGCTATACAGGGCAGTGCTGTACAATGTTACTCCTACCATAGTTTAATAACCCTGTCTATTACAACTTCTCCTGTTTAACCTGCTTTGTAGTTTCCATCTCCAGATTGGCCCCAGACTGATATTTACTCAATTCCTGATTTGAAAATATGCATATATTCTATTTCTAATAGTTGACTACTATTAAAAACACAGGAAAGATGGTCCTGGATCATAAGTGTGTGATTGTGGTTATTTCCTCAGAGTAAGTTCCTCGAAGAGAAAGTATTACTTCAAAAATTAGGCACATTTTAAAACTTTGATGTACTTTACCAAAATACCCTCCAGAAAGGATGTAATAAAATGCACTCCTCGAAAAGTGCAGAATTCCGAATTCCCATCATCTTCTAAGCAGGACTAATAAAGGAACAACAACAGAAAAGGAAAGGCACCAAGATTGCCAACAGCGTCCCGAGGCCTCCCGATCACCCACCAAGGGCAGGCGATCCTTCGTCACCACTTTGCATTGCACCCTCAGAGGCGCTCACACGGAGGAGCATGGCCTCGAGTGTCAACGTACTTCTAGGTCCTTTCTGACCTGCCAATCTTCCCCCACACCCGACGTCTGTCCACGTTCACTTCTACCAGACACCAGAACCTCTCCACACCGCACTCCACTTGTTCAACTTCTCTAAGGAATTCAGGAAGCAGCAAATTAAAATAGCTAATAAAAGAGAGAGAAAGGACAATTTCACTGAGGGATTTTTTATTTTTCCACTCTCGTGGGAACATAATGAGATTCTGAGGATGAGGGATTTGGGCTTGCCACAGGACTGAGAATCTGGGTAATCATCTGGAAGGTCTGGGCTTTGCAGGTACCAGGTGTGACTCAAGCCTCTCTCCAAGTGTCACCTGCACTGCATTTGCAAATCATATGAAGTTATCAGAAACTGGTACTAAAGTTTTACATGGATCAGTGGAAAGATGAAATGTTTAAATTACTCAAGAACTTCAAATCAATATAGAAAACACTCCAGTAATCTTTATAAATACTTAGAGCTTCTAACCTTTTATCAGTCAATTACTACTAGGTCTAAAACTACCTCTACATAGCAAAGAACTCAAAAGAGGAGAATGTCTATCCAAACACTTCTGTCCTGGGTAAGTGTTTCATTACCTGGACTCTGATCCTTCACCATTTTGACACCTGGCACCAGCTCTTAATCTTAGAAAAGTCCTGTCTCCGTTATATATCAACTCCTGGTTTATGGATAAAATTCATTACACCTTTCAATTCCATTTGTCCAGAAACATTTGAAGCCACCTTGTAGATAATACATACACAGGCATTCCCACGTGCATGGGCTTCCATACATCACGGCACAGTGACTTGGTAAACAGACCTAAACCTGCTCTATGATTTTCTTTCTGTGGCAAACCACGATTGAACTTGATGCTAAGAAGCCATCTATGTGAACATAATTCTTAATGTTTTGTTGATTGACCACCTTAACAGATATCACAACTATTTTTCGAAATAGAAAAAAAAATTATTTCCCCAACTTCTTGCCAATTAAATATTTGTGGCTTAAAGTTTTTAACATCTTTTTGTTGTCTTTGGTAACATAGCCTGCTAACATGCACGCCGTCACTGCCTGTATCGTGCTCCTTTCATCCTTGTACAAACGAGATGAGAGAGCCAGTAGCCTCATTCCATTCTCATTAGTTTGAGGAATCTGCCACTAACCCATGGCCAGAGCCTTGGCACTGCGTCACCTGTCCTAAGAATAGACACAGACATTGGAAAAGGAGACAGACGTGGCTTTGATCCTGAACTCCTCCTTGATAGACAAGGAAAAGAGCACTGTTCTCTTTGAGAAGTGACTGTACCCAGCAACCCCGAAGCTGAGGCTGCTTCAAAGAGACTCCCCACAGAGTGACAGACTCCCTTCTGAGGAAGAAAGACAGGAAGGCAAGTGCTTCCGGATCTCGGATCTGGGCATCACAGGGTCCTGCACACGGCAGCATTTCAAAACCTCTCAGTCCGTTCAATGGGGCCCTGTCCCTTGAGTGAGATGTGACGAGTGGAAAAGTGAAGCGAAAGAGTGAAGCTTTTTGTCTCCTGCTCAGCCCTTCAGCCGGGCTGAAGATCTGACATACTCCTCTCTTTGTTGTAAAGAGAGAGACAGCCAGTCATGTTTCAGGGGCCCAGAGAGTCCAGAGTTTAAAAGATGACAATGGCATCCACAGAATTGCACTAGGTCTAAAAAAACTCCCCCGATATAGCCCCATCTTCATCCCTAGGACATTTGAAAATGGTACCTTACATGGTAAAGGGGCCTTTGCAAGTATGATTAAGTTAAAGAGCTTGAGATAGATTGTCTTGAATTACCAAGTGGGCCAAAGTAACCCAGACTGGTCAGGGTCAGAAGGGGCAGTAGGACCAGAGAGTCAGAGGATACAGTGATTCACTGGAAGATGAAGAAGAGGAGCTACTTGCAAGGGTACACAGGTGACCTCAGGAAGCCGGTAAAGGCAAGGGAATAAATTACTCCCTAAGCTTCCAGGAGCACAGCCTTGCAGACCCCTTGATGACTTACAGGTAGGATGGTAAGGGTAAACGCAGGAGGTTTTATGTCATAAAGTTTGTGGTGATTTGTCACAGAGGCAATCGCATAAAAGAAATCAACATTTATCACGCACATATAACGAACTTAAGTTTGTGACTGCCGAGGGATCTTGTGAGGGTGACACCCACCAGGAAGTCACAATGCCACTCAAGTTCATAGTGACAGGAAGGGAACAGCATAGGGATTTGCAGAAGCTAAGTGGCAACCTACTGTGGGCAGGTTATCAGGTGAGGCCAGTCCCTAGAGAAGGACTCCATGCTTAGGAGAGTCGAAGGGCAGCAAAAGAGAAGAAGCCCCTCAACAAGATGGACTGATGCAGTGGTTAAAACAATAAGCACAGATATGAGAGCAATTGTGAGGATGGCGCAGGACCGGGCAGTGTTTCATTCCATCATATGTCATGTCAGAATCAGCTCCACAGCCTCCAACCATGATGACAAAGTGATAACCTGGGACAGACGCAGAGCGAGTATCCTAAAATCAGCTGTGTTCTCACTTGAAAAGTCATTGATGTTTTGCAATCCTAACTGTGGTACTGTCACAGTAGAAATCTGTTCTCTACCTATGTCTCAAGGCTCATTCCCTCTCCTTGAATGGAACATTCCAGAATCATTCCCTGAACACAACCCAGAGCTGATCCATCGATTAGAATACCTGACTTACCTGGCAAATATCTACTGTCCTTTAAAGAGGTCCAGAATAAACATCACCCTTTCTAAAAAATCTTTCCTGGAAATCCAGATGCCTCCACTGTGCCATCAATGGCATGGTGGTGGGTATACTTGACCTCCTCTGGCTTCCCTATTGCCACGAGGTAAGGGCCAAACATGCCTCCACACACCAACCTTTCATCCCACACTACTATACTTCTATGAGGGGTTTGATAATTAATTGCAATGGCTACAAAGAACACACAGGCAATTCTCACAACTTAGAATGTTTAGTAGTCAAGTTAATATATTA